GGATGTAGGTTTTCTTATTCAAGTATGTTGAGGCCAAGAACTCAGGAGATGACCACCATTGAAAAGATAGTTCATTATACATAGATCCCAAGAGGAGGGGGGCACACCATATCACACAGGGTCACAGAGGAGAGCACCAAGGTCTGTCAGGAGACAGACAGAATGAAGGTAAACCTGGGCAAAAGCCTTTACTGTGATTGTCATGGGAATGGACAGAGGACCGTGTGCAGACTTAGGGTTGGCCAGTTGGAATGTTCCAGCAGGCTCTTAGGCACAAGGCTGTCTTTAGAAGTCAGGTGCCTTGCCCTGATAGCAGAGGTAGTGGGGACTCCAGATTGGTTAGTTTGCATATGAAAGTCACCTTCAAAGGCAAGTTTACCATCTCTAGGAATTGTCTAACCCCAGGAGGGGAAGTCTCTTTAGAGTCAGCAAGGCCTCGGATATCAAAGCATCAAAAATCCAGAAAATAAAAAAGTACAATTACCTCACCAAAGAAGATATACAAATGGCAAACAAGTACGGGAAAATAGAACCAATAGCATTGGTTGTTAGGTCATTAATTTAAATACAAATTAAAACACCAATGATAAAGCACTCGATACCAATAAGAACAGCCAAAAGAAAAAGAACACACTACCAAATGCTGATGAGAATGTGGAGCAACAGGAACCTTCATTCACTGCTGGTGGGAAAGCAAAAAGTTATACCTTAGAATAAGGCAGTTTCTTACAAAACTATGCATACTCTTATCATAGGATCCAGCAGTTGCACTCCTTGGGATGTACCCAAAAGAATTGGAAAAACTTAGGTCCACACAAAACTTGTACACAGACATCTTCAGCACTTGATTCATAATTATCAAACGTGGGAGTAACCAAGATGCCTATAGTAGTTGAATGGTTGAACTGTAGTCTAACCAGACTACAAAATATTATTCAGGGGGCTGGGATTATAGCTCAGAGGTAGAGCGCTCGCCTACCATGCATGAGACACTGGATTTGATCCTCAGCACCACATAAAAATAAAATAAAGATATTGTGTCCACCTGTAACTAAAAAAATAAATATTAAAAAAGAATGAAATATTATTCAGCATCAAAAATATATGAACTATCAAGCCATGAAAAGACATAGAGGAAACTTAAATGCATATTACTAAGTGAAAGAAGCCAATCAGAAAAGGCTACAGACTGTGAGCCCAACTACACGATACTCTGGAAGAGGTCAAACTGTGAAGGCAGCAAAAGGATCAGGATTATCAGAGGCTGTGAGGAGGCAAGGAGGATAAAGCAGCTGAGCACATAGGATTTTAGGGACAGTGCTACTCTCTATGACACCATAATGATGGGCATAAGTTATTATAAATTTTCCGGAACCTATAGAATTTCCAACCCAACAATGAATTCTCATGAAAACTATGGATTTGGAGAGATGATTGTCAATATAAGTTCAGCCATTATAACAAATATGCCACTCTTCTTGAGGATGCTGACTATAGGAGAGGCCGTGCCTATGAGGGGGCAAGGGATATATGGGAATTGTCTATACTTTCCATTTGATATGAAACTAAAATTCTAAAACAAAGTTTAATTTTGAAAAATAATAAATAGAACTTTGCCACCTTTACTGGGGGCGGGGGGCTCTACTATTAAGCCACATCCCCAGCCCTATTTTGTATTTTATTTAGAGACAGGGTCTCATTGAGCTGCTTAGCACCTCACTTTTGCTGAGGCTGGCTTTGAACTCCAGATCCTCCTGCCTCAGACCCCAGAGCCACTGGGATTACAGGAGTGAACCACCACGCCCAGCCCCACTCCCTTTTATGTTTTATTTTGAGACAGAGTCATACTGTATTGCTGAGGCTGGCCTCAAATTTGTGATCCTCCTGCCTCAGGCTCCGAAGTAGCTGGGATTACAGGTGTGTTCTACTTCACTGGTTTAACCTTTTTCTTTTTAGCACTGTCCTTTACTTAGGAGGTAAACTGTTGTCCTGATTTCTGAGATGCTTCCTTCATTTCCTTTATATGATATGATCTAGGTACACCTTTCTAAATAATATAGTTTCATTTTCCTGGCTTGGGACCTTAGATGAGCATAATCATAACGTATATATTCATTTGTTTCTTGCTTATTTTGCTAAAAATGTTATGAGATTCATAAATCTTTTTGTGTTGATTAGCATTCTAAATCTCAGCATTAACTGGGCACATAACTGGGACATTACATCACCTTTCGGAGAACAACTCAAATTAACACATTCTGTTGTGCAATGGGAAGAGTCGGGGCAGGAGGAAATGTAGAAAGAAAACTGACAATCAGTTCACTGATTTGTTTCAAAACATTTTTATGTCTATAATTTTGGCAAGTGTATACATTTTCCAGAGTTCTATAGCAGGGTAGAAAGACACATGAAAGGGTGGTGCTGATAATTTGAGTGCAGACGTTGTTGTGTTACATTTCCGGTTTAAAGTATTCAAGTTGAGTAGCTTAACTAACTAGCAAAGTGCACTGCCTCTTCAGGAGACCATTTCTTCCTGGGCTGAGAAAGAGAAAGAGTCCAGTTTGATCTGGTAGGTGACTTGTTCTGTTTTATTTTTAGTAATTTAGGAATTTCAACCATCTGGAGTTTATGTTGTCATATAGTATAAGGTGTGTTTTGAAATTTATTTTTTCCTGAGTTCATGACTAATCTGTGCTTTCTTACTGAGTTGAAATGGCACCTTTATCATTCTCTAAATTATTCATGCTTGTGGCTGCTTCTGATTTTCTTTTCTATGCCACTGACCTCTTGGTCTACACTTGAGCCAATATCATGCTGTTTTAATTATTGTACCTTAAAAATTGGTTAGCATCTGGTAATAGAGATGTATCCCATGTACACATACACACTGAGTATTCATTTCTACTGTTTACTTTTAGATAAACTTTTGCATGCTTATGTTAATTTTAGAAAATTAGGCCACTATGACTTTGAGGTATGATTTAAAACTCAAATTTGATTTTGTGGAAACTGACCATCTTTAAATCACTGACTGTTATTATCCATGAAAATGATTGTTTCTTCGTTAATTCTCCTCTTTTAGTGAAGCTTATTATAGTCTTTCTATAGACCTTGGATATTTCTGATTCCCTATTCCTATGTTACAGTGGATGTTAGGCCTGTCATTTGCCAACAACAATTGGCATCCAGCATCACCATAATGATTCCCAAAGCACTCTATTCCCACTACCATTGGGGACCTCAGCGGATGCATATTTGTAGTGCTGACCTAATCTTTCTCTCCTCTGCAGTGACCTCTGCCCATCCAGAGTCCAAAGGAATTCTCCAAACAGATGTCCTCCGGAGTGTCCTATCTTTAAATTAACCCCTTTATATCCTACCACCACTCTAAGTCTTCTTTGGGACCCTTCTAGGTTTTAAAACCAGGTGTTGATTCTCTGATTGAAATAATTCTAAAGAATATTTTAAGGGCTGGGATTGTGGCTCAGCGCTAGAGCACTCGTCTAGCACGTGTGAGGCCCTGGGTTCCATCCTCAGCACCACATAAAATTAAATAAATAAGAAAATAAAGGTATTGTGTCCAATTACTTCTAAAAAAATTGAAAACAAAAAAAGAATATTTTAAACTCTAGGTCATGAACTATTAACAAAAAAAAAAAATGCCTTCTAGAGAATGGGATTGTGGGGAAGGAGGAAGGAGGCAATGTATTTCCCTACCGTTTTCTTTTTTCTTCAACTAAGTACTCCTTTAAATAAATAAATCCTCTTCTTTAAAAAGCACCTTCCCCCTCTCAAGAAACGTTCTGCTGTAGAGGAGGAACAATTCGTGGGAATACCGAGGACAGTCATTCTTATCTTTTGGGATCATGAAACTCTTCAGAAACATGATGGAGACTGTGGAAACTTTCCCCCGGAGAATGTACAATGCACATAGATCCACTCTAAATAGGATTTCAGAGATTGGAAGGCCACTGCATTCCAGCAAGATTAGCATCTCAGCTAATTGGTGGCTAGTAAGGCAAATGTCACTCACTGGACACCTGCAGAGGGCTGCGGTGCTCTTAGCCTTTGGGTGTGCCTCATGTTGCATCACAGGGCAGAGGCCACCTCCCAAGAGTCACTCTGAATAAATAATTTTAGAGCAAAAATGTCCTCCAAACTAGGTTGCTAAAAAAATAAGTAAGTTGGGGCTGGCGTTGTAGCTCAGTGGTAGAGCACTTGCCTTGTACGTGTGAGGCACTGTGTTCGATTCCCAGCACCGCATACAAATAAGCAAATAAAATAAAGGTCTATCAACAACTAAAAAAAAAAAAATTTTTAAATAAGTAAGTCAATCATGAGTGATTTTATATGCTATCAAATAAGTTGAGGAAAGTTGTTAGAACTAGCCTAAGAATATTGCTAAGTAAAAGAAATGATTTTTAGTCGATAGCCTCCTGTCTCCATTTCTGAGTCTTCCCCTCGCCTACCCCCAATTTTGGTATCCTTAAGTGACCCCCGACCCCACCCAGTCCTCTTACTCCAAGAAACTTTCCTTCCTTCTTCAACTCAAGCCTCCTGTTGTCACACTTTCCTACAAAAGTAACCCAAACAGAAGAGATGAGTGAGCCCCAGTGCCTCAGGAACTCTGGGGACAAAGTGGAAAGTAGTCTACACAATCAAGGGATTCTCCTGCACTGTATCACGATATGGCTGCATCCCCAGGAGATAAAGAATATCCAACTTACTAATTCTGAAATTTGTACTGGGAACTTATATTTAAATATACATAATATATGAACATAATTTGCTAGTAAGTAAACCTGTGTGTGTGTGTGTGTGTGTGTGTGTGTATGTACACATATATCCCAAATAAAAATACATAGAATGGAAGCCAGTTCTATAACTGCTGGTTAAATTATTTCACTTTGCTTCCTCTCTCTTCCCTCCCATAGCAAATCAAAGCGCCTCAGAGAGAACAGCAGGGAGTGTTTAAGAGAGACCTCCTGGGTTCAACCCACCTCTGCCCCTCACTGGCGTGAAACCATGGCTGGGGATGATGTAATCGTTCTCTCAGCATCAGTCTTCCCTTCTGTAAAAAAAAAAAAAAAAAAAAAGTAAATAACAAAGTACTTACATGTGGATTTATTGGAAGGATAAAGTGTGCATTGTACTCAGGAAGACTGAGTGTGTAGAATACAGTGCATATCTATGCAATAAGAACATGACTCCTTCCCCTGACTCCTCAGGAACTCTTGCACTGTGGTTCTGTTCTTTCCTTGTTCTGGGTATTGAAATCCCAGACGATCTCATTGGTTTCATAGTAGCTTGTAGCTAGAAGTTATCCCCATCAGAAACCTATCATTTCAGTAACTAAAGTTCTGTCCAGGCTGAGGATGGTGGCCTACTCCCATAACCTCAGTCACTCAGGAGACAGAGGCAGGGGGATTACAAGTTGAAGGCCAGCCTCAGCTGCTTAGTAAGCCCCTAAGCAACTTTGTGAGAGACTCTTTCCAAATGAAAAATAAAAAAGGCCTGGAGAATGTAGCTTCATGGTAAAAATTTCCCTGGGTTCAATGCTCAATGCAAAAAAAAAAAAAAAAAAAATCCTGTCCAGTACAATAATAAAAACTTGGGTCTAGTCCTATATAAAACCTTTCCTCCCCACCACACCCTTATACTATCTCAGAGAAAGCCAGGTCCTGACTGGGAGGTCTGGGAGTGGGTTGGCCTCCTCTCTGCTCTCCCTCCCTCCCTCCCTTCCTTCCACCTTCTGGCTTGTGTGGCTTCTCTGGATGCAGTGGCCCCTCTTGTCTAGACCGCAGCCTCCAGGCCTCTAGAGGCCAGCCTGGCCCAGCTGCTTCCTCGGTTATGTGCCTTCTTAACCCTGCCAGAGAGCCCTCTTGATGGCCTTTATAATGACCATGAGAGGTTCCCCCCAGGCCCAAATGGCCTTAAGGGGAAGCCATGCATGCTTGTCTGGGAGCATAGAACTGCCACCCTTTGCCACCGCAGCCTAAAATTACAAGGGACTTGCTCAAGTCCTCTTGAGTCCCCTCTCACTTAACTGAGGTAAAGGCAAAGCGACCCTCTCCTCCCTTAGGGTAGAAGTGTGGAGCTACACAAGACACAGACACATGCAGACACCGCCCTCTGTGTGCCTCAGCCCCACTCTTGCATTAGCTGGGGAAATAACAGAACTGGATTTTCAATCTGGACACACCCCCCATGTCCATATTTTAGCCTCTCACATGGTGGCTTTGCACTTTCCTTCAGGGTGTGGTATTTGGCATCTATATTTTTTATTAAGACCCTTATAGGGAATCAGCCAAACTGACGCTGAAAGAATTACCATTCAACATCCTGAAATAAATATGAAGGCACTTATCACATAGTGCTTGGTCAAGAGTAACTGCTCAGTAAATATCAGCTGTCATCATTTTAGAAGTAGTTGCAAAGCATGATTTCTTACAGTTTTGCTCTGTTCTGGCTGTGAGAACAAACTGCCATAGACTGGGTGGCTTATAAATAGTAGAAATTTACTGCTCACAGTTCCGGGAGATGAGAAATCTGTTCACAGTTCTGCAGGGTTAGAAATCCTAGATAAAGAACCAGCAGATCCAGTGTCTGGTGAAGGCCTTCTTCCTGGCTCATAGCTTTCCCACTGTGTCTTCTCCTGGTGAGAGGGTCCTGGCAAGATAACACAAATCTCTCATGAGGGCTCCATCTCATGACCTAATCACCTCTCAAAAGCCCCCACCTCCTCAAACCATCACACTGGGGCTCAGGATTTCAACATGTATTTTAGGGAGACACAAATATTTAGTCTATAGCTGGGTCTCACAGTGCCTCTACTATGGCCGGCCGGCTCTGCCACAGTTTGAAAAGGCTAGTCTGTAGCCATGTTTTCCATAACTCACTGTTGTAAAATCGATTTACAGTTTCCCCAGTGACATTTTTAAAAATGAAATCAAAGAGTAGAAAAGTGAATAGAAAAAGCAAAAATGTGATTATCATAATAAGTATTGTTTTATAAAGTTCTTGCGATTTAAAATGTATTTTATTATTGGCTGCTATAAAAATGTTGCAAGGCTGTCACATCTGATACTCTGCAATTGTCCATCACAATAATTAGCACGTGAGAGGTGGGGTGGCTTTACTGAAACAAGTTTGTGTACTGGCAAGATGTAAGGAATAGAGAACATTCTATTCCCCTCAGGTCTCTGCAGTAAATGTAGTTAATCTGTAGCTAGTAATGAACTGTTATGTTTTTCCCTAATTGTTTCTTGAGAATAATTGTGGAATCCCCAAAATGAGGAACAGAGAGCATGTTTTCATTGCTGCTGGAATCCTCACAGAGCCCAGCACAAGAACATCAGGCAGTGCTGATTAAGGTCTGGCATTTGGTTTGGCTGCTTCGCTGGTCCTGTGATAGTAGATTGATTGGGCTGTTTAGCCTACTACACCATTTGCACTATTCACAGTTGTTAAGGTTCACCAGGCTGGAAAGGAGTCTATCCACAGGGCCCCAGTTCTCAGGGCCTAAGCCGTAGCCTCTACTTAATAACTATTTGAGGAATAAATGGAGGCTCAATCTATAAAATAAAACCTATGGTTGGTAGATTTTCCAATGATCTACCCGCTGCAAATTGTAAGGAATTTCAATGCAGTTAGGTTCCTTAAGTTTCAATATATTCATATGCAGAGAATGAGATCATAGAAATTCTCACAAAAGAGTGGTTTGATCAAATCGAAGGAATATTCACTCTCATTTTCATAGAAATAGTAAATTTGTTATAGACTACACATTTTCATTTCCCTGTCTTAGAATCTGAGGTCACATGAAGCTGAGCTACAAGGAACAAAGTACATTTTGTTCTGGGTGAACTCTCTAGTGGATGCTCTCTTAACCTGGCCCTAATCTCGAATACCTGACCTCTTTGCCAAAGGAGCAAATATTACTTCAAGGAAGAAATTTTACTTATTTTATTTCCCGTGAATCTCAGCAAAATAAGTTTGAGTTGTCTTCATTTTTCCCTCAAAACCGTGAAGTCCGGTAGTAGTGTCAGTTTGCTTGTGAGTTTGACTTGTACAGATCTTTGAGTCATTGAACATGTTTATCTCTCTGTAAAATTCTTGCCTTGAAGAAGATACAGATGAGTAAAGAAAAAAGAAATAATCAAATGACTTTTGAATGACCATATGCTTGTTTTGAAATCCCTTTATCTATACCACCCCATCCTATTTTTGACTTCTTCTAAACTTTACCAAATACTGTGTAGCAATATTTTTGTGACTCATCCAAAAACAGTGTATTTTTACCATCGGGACAATCTAACAGTATAAACAGATCTGCTCATCTGTCTGTTCATCATCATTCTACCCAGGAAATTGTTCAATTCCAAAACACAGGAGTTCATCAGATCATCCCAAAACACATAACTTCATAACCAAGAGAATTTTAGGCATTTTCACACTGAGAAACAGACAGTACCTTATGAAAAATAAACTAGTTTTGCAAGAACTAGACTCATGTATCAAGTCTATATTTTCTGCTTTCCTCAAGAGATGGCTTAGGCTGGGTGCTATGGCACACACCAGTAATCCCAGCAGCTTGGGAGGCTGAGGCAGGAGGATCACAAGTTTAAGGCCAACCATGGCAAAAAACGAGGCACTAAGCAACTTAGTGAGACCCTGTCTCTAAATAAAATACAAAATAGGGCTGGGGATGTGACTCAGTGGTAAAGCACCCCTAAGTTCAATCCCTGGTACCTGCCCTCCCCCCAAAAAAGAGAGATGGCTTAGAAGAAATGACTGTGATACAAATAAAAGTAAGTATTTTTCATGTTAGCTTTCAAGAAAAAAAATGTTAATTAAAAAAAAAATCAGAGACCAAGTGAACAGTTGAACATCCAGCCAAATTCCAAATGTAGCTACAGTCGGGTTTTGGTGGTATCATTGTCATCAAGTTGCTATATTACACCCCATGTCCCCTATCTCTGTACCCTCTCCTGCAGATGCTCAGTTGCTAATTACACAGCATATTTCCCCTACGTATTAATCACATGTTGAGTAAATCTCTCAGGAAATTTTGCAACATATTGAGTTAGACAGGAAACTTCCTTTCTGATCCCATTCTGACAATTTTTCTTGAATTGTGTCATCAAAGCAGAAGCAGAGTCTCTTGAGAAGGTATCAAGTTGAGAGTCCCACACTAACAGGTCGCCTTATTTTTATGAAGAGGCTGTGGGTCACCTACTTTGCCACTGCCCTAATAAAGTCAAGGGTCAGGATTTGTAGTTTAAGGAAATGCGTGCACATTCTAGAATGTTCTCCCTCACTAAGAGATCTTCCATAGTATATCTCTAATGTGTACCCCTCAACCACAGGCCTTTTACTGAGGGTCCCACATATAAAAGGTAAGGCTGGTATTTGATAAATCCTCTGATAAAGAATGCTAACTAAGACATTTGTTAAATTTTATTATTGTTTCTACTATAATATCTATTTGCCTATAAATAGATACAGATGCAGCAATATTGGAAGGTATTGAAGAGCTCAGTGAGAAAATTGTAAATTTCCTAGAACCTACCTCTATACAAATAGTCACTCTTAATTTTTTTTTTTTCCTGTGCAAGGATTCAAATCCTGGACCTCACATATGTCAACCATGTGCTCCACCACTGAGCTACACCCACGCACCGCCCAGCCCACACTGTAACTTTAATCTGTGAACTGTTTTTTGTTTTTTTTTTAAGAGTAAAACCATGGTACATATACTGAATTTGTCCTACTAACACATACATAGTAAATACCTGCTGACATGTTTTAAAAATTATCTATATTCTGACTTACTTGCTATAACTATAATATTTAAAGTAATTCATTGCTATTTCTGGTTCATTAAACTTGAAATAAACTGACTCATTTGTTAAAGTGTAAGAGAAGTCAAAGTTCCTTGTGTAGCTAAAACATTCAACAGAAAATGTAGAAGAAAGAGAACAAGAAAACCCTTGTTCTTTGCTTCATCCAGGGTAGTTAGTCCATTGGAAAGATAGCCAAAGTCTCTTAAGCTCAAAGAATTTTTCACACAAATTCTTTACGTCATTCTATTCCTACTCACCTTGAATTTATAGGCAGATGTCTCTTGTCACTTGTGCCAGCCTTTTATTCGGATAATAAATTGGGAAGTAATGTTCAGAATTAAAGTCCTGTAGCTTAGAGAAAGATTGAATACTCTGCAATTCAATATAGTTATGTAACGCAATAATTCCTGTACTCCTAAGTAAACAATATTGTCTGCGTGTATATGTGTGCGTGTGTGAAAAAGCACATGTAAAATAATTGAAAATCAACATTTCTATTTGATAGATGAATTCCTAAAAGAGATAAAGTAGATAAATTTTGGTGTTTTTGACCGTTTTCCCACTAAACTACTATAACTAGTATGGTAATTTATCTTAAACATTATATAATTTGCCTGCAAGCAGAAAATTTAAATAATACATTTCCCACAAATAGCTAGTGTAACTGTTTTCCGTGTATCTTTGCCACAAGGGTCCATGAATTTACAAGCATTTGTGTAGTGTATACACATGCGTGTATTCCAGCCCCTATATAGGGTACCCTTGGGGCATTTCCTACATGGAACCTAAACACATACTTACTCTTACTTTTAAGGAAGTTAACACATGGATACTTCATTGTCCCTAAATGAGGTATGTGAGGATCTATTAGCCTCAGGCTTCATATCTTCAACAAAGGAGGAAAATACAAAACATTTGCTTTAAACATTCCTCTTTTTTACTTATATTTTCTTTTTTTAAATTTGTTCTAATTAATTATATATGACAGTAGAATGCATTTTGACACATCATACATAAATGGAGCATAACTTCTCATCCTTCTGACTATACATGATATAGATTCACACCAGTTGTGTAGTCGTATATGCACAGAGGGTAATAATGTCTGATTCATTCTACTGTTCTTTCTACCCCATTTCCCCTCCTCTCCCTTCACTCCCCTCTGCCTACTCCTAATAAACACTCCTCTTTTTATACGTAATATTTGCTAACTTAAATGCTTCTGTTTAAAAAGGAATTTTCTCCTTATGTCATACACAAAAGTGAATTCCAGGTAAATTTAAAAAGATCATCAAGGAAAAGTTCACTGATTCAGATCATTCAAGTAAAGATTGATCGTCAAGGGAGTGAATATATAAGTCACAGAGTGAAAAATATTTGCAACTCACATAGACAACACTGGACTGAAATATATATTACAACAAGAAAAATAGAGAACTCTTGCTAATCATTAATTAAAAGGCAGTTGGTCAATTAAAAAATAAACAAGTGAAAGACTAGAACAGCCACTTTGCCAAACAGGGAATTCAGATTGCCAGTAAACATGAAAAGATGTTCAACTTCATTAGTAATAAACTAAGTATGAATTAAAACAACATTGATACATTATACACCCACCTGATTGGCAAAATAATAAAGTCTGACAGTACCAAGTTCTGGCAAGGATGTGAAGTAACAGGATATTTCATATACTGCTGGTGGGAGTATAAATTGGTATAAACCACACTGGAAAAGAGTTTGGCACAACTGGATAAACCCGGATGTTATACAAACCCGGTGACCCAGCAATTCCACTCTAACTATATTCCTCAAAAAAATGCTTACACATATGCACCCACTGACTTGTAACCAGGACATGCAGAGCAGCCCTGATCATAACAGCCCAAGATGGAAATGTTTCAGAGGTCCACTACCAAAAGAATGAATAAAGAAATCATGGTACAGTCATTCAATTAAATGTTAGTCAGCAACTAAATGAAGGAGAGCTGGACAAAATAACATGGATAGATCTGACGAACACAAAATAGTACAAAAGAAGCAAGATGAAAGTATGCATTAGTAGGATTCCATTCATATAAAGTAAAAACAGGGAGGATGCCATATACTATTTGAGGCAATATTTTCAAGTTCAGTGTAAATGTCATTAACCTAACATGGTTCCCACACAAGGTGAGTACTAATTGAAAAAGTCGAGCCTGTTTATATATGACAGTAGAATGCATTTGACACATCATACATAATTATTGAAGGTAATACTACCAAGAAAATCAAGCAGATGAGAACTCTACAACTCAGGATTCAGTTACTGGAGGGCATGAGGGCAGAGCACATGCAGGAGACTTCTGTTTTTAGACCTGCATGGTGGCTGCTGCCTGAGTGTTTGCTTTATAACTAAGTCTTTGTTTAGCTCTAAATGTTTTTTTTTAAAGACATAGATAAACTTTTAAAGACTTTAAAAAAAACAGGAGACCTGCCCCCAAATATCCCAGATAAAGTAGAATATCATTAAGAATTTGCACCCCAAGAAAATAATAAAAGGAATTGGAATAGGTGTCCTTTGTGAGCATTAAGAGCACCGCTGAATCTCTGGCTCCCCACCCCACCCCAGACCCACATAAACAATGCCAGCCTTGGAGACTTGGTCCATTTGGACAAATGAGGACTCTCCTTAAGGCAGAGGGCAAGAGCAACTTGGGGAATAACAGGCAATGTCTGGTATTGCCTTTTCCTTTATTTGTAGGAGTTCTAATCCCAAGTTCAGCAATGTGCCTTGGAGGAAGAATAGACTGTGTACTTGGGTGAGCAGCCTCAAATGCAGTAACTCCATTGCCTCTGCACACTCACCATTGAGGAAGTGCTCCATAGCCCACAGAAGTAGGGAGTCATCTATTAGGAATTCTCTAGTAATGAGAAATACTATTGCCTCATTTATCTGTTCAGTACATACTACATGACCTGAATTCTAGATTGTCACAGAGCAAGGGTTCATTGTTGGAGGAACACAAACCAACAAATCCTACTTAACATCGGGGATCTATGAAAAGAATCCACCCAACCTGCTTCTGGGTTCACCAGTGAAACTGCTTCTGGGCTCACCCAGGGCCACCAACAACTTTACGCCAGTTGAAAATTGTCCCAGGAATTTAAAAAATTTTTCTTGTTGACTGTTTCATGGTCTGTGATCCAGAGGGTTTAAAGGACAGCTTTCTGTCCCTGTGTTGGTAGTGTGCACACTGTTGACTTTGGCATGACAGGGGACTGCGGTGAAGAAAGGTGTACAGAGAGGGTTGTCAGAGGAAGCTAATTTACACCCTGTGCAGGACTGAGGGCTGCCTGTTTGGAGCTGTTTTTCCTGTGGCTGAAGATTCCTGGGAATGTGGTTCGGGCATGTCTCTGCTAGTGATATACTGTCATCTTTTCTCTTTTCCATTTACAGTATGCAGCTTTTACAGTGGTAACAGGCTCGACTTTTTCAATTATTACTCACTTTGTGAGGGAACCATGTACGTTAAGTGACATTTACATTGAACTTGAGAATACTGCCTCAAATAGTATCAGGTAGAAAATACCTCCT